GATTAAAACATCGTTTGTGGTGTCCAGTGCTGGGTGTGGAGGTACTGAAGGAGCTCGGCCTCCTCCAGGGTGCTAATCCACGCCTGTCCTTCCCGTCTCCCTCGCTATTAAAATGTCGTTTGTGCCGGGGTTAACGGATGATGACCGGCTCCTAGGTGATGATCGCGGCTTAAGCGGCGGGAGGAGAGGATATAGTAGGTGCGGCTACACACAAGGTGCGGTACTTTTCAGCCGCAAAATATATGTGTAGTGCTTTATATATATATATATATATATATATATATATATATATATATATATAATATATATATATATATATATATATATATATATATATATTATATATAGTCCAGATTCTACTATCCTATATTACTTAAGATATTGCTGCTGAAACATATAGATTATTGCGTGTGATATAAGCATTATATAGAGAATGGTGGCTGGTTATAGAGCATCCCACGTCTACAGTGTACACGATATTTCCAGATTAACCGGAACACATGAGGGTTTATATTACAAACAAATTTGGACTATTTACTAAGAATTTTTTGCTTTTATTGTTGGCAAATGAAATACAGTAATACATTATGTAGATTATTATACTGTCTTTATGTGCATTATATTTAGCTTAATCTACATCTGTGTCTATCAAACTGCCGGAAGTACTGGCAGTTAAGAACCTAAGTCTGGCTTCTACGTTAATCAGTCTGTTCATATTGGAAGTTACTCCATTAATATGCGTATCTACGTTCATGTTATCATAGTGAGTGGTATATCTACTGAGGAATATATTGGCATGGCTGTAGCACTCAAATATATTTTATAATTATTTCTTAATATTTTTTATAACGCCTGACACGGTCCATGGACAAATTATTTCCCTTTGAGAGAACTTTCTTCAGCCAATTATCAGACTTACCATGAAGGAATAAATTATTATAAGATGGAATCTAAGAGAATGGTACATTAATGTCTTTGTGTTTAATTTTCATCATCTCTATCTCTGTCTTCTCCAATGGTCGCATTTTAAACCATCTAAGTCAAGTACCTTCAGTGATGACATATAATCAATATTGATCAAGGAGTCGACCTTATTATCACAAGTAACCTTCACTACCATCAAGGTGACAAGCAGTTCACTTTGTAATGTACAAGTTTACTATAATTATTAATTAACTTGCTGTAGTCAGTAAGGTTTTAATAATTCTTATGTGGAGGTGTTAAGATCCATTAGTGTTTAGAATTTGTGATGTTAGCTAACATGTAATTACTGGAAAAACCTTTGTATTTGTTATTAGCGTATCAGGAGGTCAGCTTGTGGCGTCTACCCGCTGCTTTACAATAATCATATTCAATAACAATGGACAATACTTCAGTGGCAGATATTGTCAATTAATTTTTTTAAATTAAACTTTAACGCCGAAGCGGGTAGTTTATTATTGACGCTAGATGCATAGTATAGAGAGAAGTGGTAGGCGAAGCCTTAGAGTATACTCTGAAAGGAATAACATGGGTATATCTGGGCATATACTATCTACGCGTCTTCATTATTTTATCTGTTACAAGCAAATTTAGAAATTTGTCGATAATTTATATTATTATATTTTGAATATTAATATAACCAAGTATACCTTCTTATGTGCTGTCTATATCTACATTCCACAGTAAGTGGACAATGTAGATTTTGCCGCCGGAGTGGTTAGTTTATTGTGCATCACATAGTCATCCTGTGGACGGCAGAGCAAGAGTATATGGATACACAAAAGGCATAAGAAGTAGGTTCCGAGGGGTTAACATATACATAAAAGGCCTAGAAATCACGCTCGCAAAAATAGGTTAGCTGTAATATATCTAAACTTATTTCACTAGTTGTCTGTTGCAAACAAATTTGTGATATTTGTTCAGTATGTCTGGTTATTATTCTGTCTCTACATTCGTCTCTAGGTGGACAATAAAACACAGTGTTCAAGATAGTGACCCTAGGATTGGCCATATACTTTGTATTTAATCTGAGCATCATGTGTGTGTGTGTCAAACTGCCAGAAGTACTTGTAATTAAGTCTAAACCTGACTACTACAACGTCAGTCAGTCTGTTCACATTACAAGTTCCTCGGTAAATATGTATATCTACGTTTATGTTATCGTAGTGATTGATAGATCTTCTCAGGCTTCTAACTGTATTCGTATGATATCCAGTTTCATTATTTACTTCTCTCCTAAAATTATTTCAGATATACTAGACACAACTATACCTAAGTTATATTCTACATTTTCCATCAAAGTACTTTGTCTAACTGATAAACTTTATTATCAATGAGTAATTCAATGTTAGATAGAATCCATCAAAATTATATATTGATTCCCTTTTTCTGAATTTTAAGTATCTGTACCTGGCTTCTCCAGTGAGCATGTTATTAGAGTTACTGTGGAAGTCAACCTTCCTCATTGTTAAAATAGAATCATTAATGATCAAAGAGTGAAGCTCAGTGTCATAAGTTAACTTTAGTGCCATTCAGTTTACAGTGTAGACGCCCAGTAGTTAATTCTTGTACCTAACTCACCATAGTTGCTATCGTTCTTAACTAGGGAGGTGACAACAAGAAAAGATGCAGCCCTGCCAGAAAACTCCTATTAATATCCATCAGCGTATACAATTTGTGATTTATTAGCACTAACAGGAGAGGAATTTCTTTTTAAGCAGTTGTTTTTACAGGTGATTAAGGAAGGGACTACCAGTAACGAGCTTCTTGGGAGGGACTTGCAGGTGTGTGATATTAAATTATCCCATCTTCCATAGTGGGATTAAATACTCTTGTTGTTTACAAAGATACAGTTCGTGCAAGTCATAAAACTTAATATAATTGCATATTTCACAACCTATTTAGACTTATGTCTATTAACTTCTAGACATTTAGTAAGATTTGTAGTGACAGTGTCTGGTTCATTTCTTAACATTCTAATACCATGTTCTACAAGACTGATATGAGATTCAAAATAAACCAGCCACTACTGTCCACAGGATAAGTATGAGGTTTACAATAAACCAGCCACTGGCGTCCAAATGATGGACGTGGACTTCAAAATAAATTGGTCTGTTTTTATTTAGTCTGTTCTTGTTTGATCTATTGTTGTTTGGTCTGTTCTTAGGTGATGTGTTCTATAGTGTTCTGTTCTTGAGTGTTTTGTTCTTAAGTGCTCTGTTCTTAAATGTTATGTTCTTTAGTGCTCTCTTCTTGAGTGTTCTGTTCTATGGTTTTTCTGTTCTTGAGTGTTCTGTTCTGTAAGGTTCTGTCCTTGCGTGTTCTCTTCTTGAGTGTTCTGTTCTATGGTTTTTCTGTTCTTGAGTGTTCTGTTCTGTAAGGTTCTGTCCTTGAGTGTTCTCTTCTTGAGTGTTCTGTTCTCGTTACACTGGTCGTTCAGGGCTATTTATCCTTGAATCTAATAATTATCGCTAAAGTGGCTAGTTTATTGTGCACCATGTATCCACCCTGTGGGCGGTAGCTAGTTTATAATACACCACATATCCACCCTGTGACGGTAGCTAGTTTATTATGCACCATGTATCCACCCTGTGGGCGGTAGCTAGTTTATTATGCACCATGGTATAAACCTTGGTAATAAATACCGACAAGTTGGTTTAGAAAGACACGTAAGCAAACACTATAACATATTTATTAGAAAACGTTTCGGTCCTGGGACCTTGATCACTTCTAAGCTTAGAAGTGATCAAGGTCCCAGGACCGAAACGTTTTCTAATAAATATGTTATAGTGTTTGCTTACGTGTCTTTCTAAACCATTATGCACCATGTATCCACCCTGTGACGGTAGCTACTGTATTGTGCATTATGTATCCACCCTGTGGACGGTAGCTAGTTTATTATGCACCATGTATCCACCCTGTGGACGGTAGCTAGACTGATGGACTGAACACATCACTACAGGCTGAGGGACAGATTCCCTCAGAGAAGCCACTGGCAGGCGAAACGTTTCCAGAATAAAGATACCCAAATGTTGCCCAAGAGTCTCATTTATCATCAGTCAGTCTGTTTACGTTGCAAGTTGCTCGGTAAATGTGCTTATCTACGTTCATGTTATCATATTTACTCGAGGTTCTGACTATATTGCTGTGATGTTATACTCAGTTTATTTTCTTAAATTCAAATTTTCAAGACTTCCTGTTTCCCCCAAAAAAATAATAACGAAAAACATGATAATTTATTAGATAAACCAAGCACATGTTAATGGTGATTGTTATTTATAGTGTTATTGACCAGAAATTAAAGCAAGACGCTTTAACTGAGATATATTTAGATCCCAGCAGAAACTGAGACACCTTAGGCGAGAAATACTTAGCAGGTAGACCAGTGTTTAAGGTGAGATGATTCGTGTGGTGGTAGCCAGGGCCTCACACGATACAAGCCACACACCACTATCTCCAACACCGGACACACTAAATGAATTTTCACACTAGCATACGTGGCTTGGCCCTGTGTGGTTTCTACCGGACCGGCCCCTTTGTTCAGTAATCCGGCTGGTCAAACGTGACAGGTCGTGGGAGAGGTGTGAAAATACCTTTCTTCGCTATTTTCACTTGTAAAGAAAAGGTATTTGTCGACACTCTTAATACTCTTGCCATATGCGTATTTCGTTGGTGTTTTTTATCCAAATAACTGGTAGAAGAATTACTTCTAATTTCCTTTCAGCGATAGCCGCGTATGTTTAGTTAATATCGTAGTTAAAGGTGATTACTTCAGCTTTACATTCGCCTGCGTTTTACACCAATCCTGTTTACACATATTTTCTTTAAACTGGCAAGACCATTCAAAGAAGGCAGAGCTCCGCCTAACAAGGTTGATGTACCAATGGGAGCACTGTGCAGCAGCGAGGTGGAGCCTGGGAACCCGTTGCTGTGTTATTGGTGTTCACTGCTGCGAGTAGGAGGAGCCTACTGTTGTAAAATGCGGAGCGGACAGGTAGAGGCGTCAGTTGTGTGCAGGTCGCAGTACTGTGGTGTGTGTGATTCTTGATTACACGTGAAAAGTTAAGCAAAAAAGAGGCCTTTCGTAGACTTGAGACGTTGACATTTGCAGGTGTCTAGCATGGTGAACCTGGGTTGTGGCACCACCTACGACAACAACAGCAGAAATATGGCACGCACGCCCCTGAAACATTCTTTCTCCATCAGTTCCTTACTGTCCGAGTCAGTCCTTAACGCTGTTCCTGCCCACACGACGGAGCAGCCCAGAAAGGAAGACCTCTGCCTTCAGGATTTTGAAATGACAGCCGCTGTAGAAGACGACGATGAGGACATTGACGTGACGGGCGCCTCCAGTCCCTTGGTCGGCGCCATGTCTGATTCCGAACTGGAGGAACAACAAGATAAGGACGAGAAAGACACGAAAAAGGAAGATGGAGATGAGAAGAAGAAACACGAAAAACCCCACTTCAGCTACAACGCTCTCATCATGATGGCCATCAGGTCCTCTCCTGAGAAGAGACTCACTCTGAGCGGCATCTACGAGTTCATCATGAAGAACTTCCCATATTACCGTGAGAATAAACAAGGATGGCAGAACTCCATCCGCCACAACCTGAGTTTAAACAAGTGTTTCGTTAAGGTTCCTCGTCACTACGACGACCCCGGCAAGGGTAATTACTGGATGCTCGACCCTTCGTCTGAAGAAGTTTTTATAGGTAGCACTACCGGAAAGTTACGGCGCCGCTCCACTACTGCCTCAAGGAACCGCTTGGCTGCCTTCAAGCAGTCTCTCTTGGGCCGCTTCGGGTGTTACTCTCCCTTAGGTCTAGCGCCTTACGCCGCAGCCGCAGCCGCAGCAGGTTTAGGAGGGTCCTTGGGGTCCCTTCCTGGAGCGCTGTCTAATGGCCTGGCTTCAAGCACACTTTATCAGCAAGCATCGGCCGCAGCTGCGGCAGCGGCGCTCTACCGCAGCTACCCGCCCACATACTACCCTGCCATGTTGCCAGCCGCCCACCTCACGTCTGCAGCGTCTCCTGCTGCTCCTCCAGCACCCGCAGGATTACCCAAGCCTACCACCCTGAGTCCACCTCCGCAACACCCGCCCACGTCCTTCAGTGTGGACCACCTTCTGTCAGATGTTCACCCGAGCACCCAGCCTAGGAACCTACTAGTGGGTTTGGGCGGCTTGTCGTCCTCCGTCCACTACGACGCATACAGAAGTTCCCTGCTGGCGCAGATGGGCGAGGCTGGACGGCGACACTCCCTTCACCGCCCTGTCACAGTGGTGGGCGGCAGACCCAGCTAAAACATTAATGCTGTCACCTCGCCCGGGCCATCAGCTCTGTGGAGACGGCCAGGGCGGCACTCACACCCGTCCCACCTGCTCGCCGCCCATCCGTCGCCCACCCGCTGCCCACTCGTCACCCACTCGTCGCCCACAACACGCCCACCCACCACCCAGTACTCATCGTTGCCGTTCACATCTCAACACCCACACTTGCCTCCATCTGTACATTCTCATTACACAAGGTAAATACATATTATTCTTATTTTGTTCTAGAATTTTTGTGAAAAACTTCCCATTATATTGCATCTTATGAAGCGCTAAATCCTGTGAGTCATTATGCGCAAGAAGTGGTAGAGGCTCGATCCTCCGTCGCTAATTGCGGCCGTATCTCTGACAATGTCAAGGCAGGAGAGATATCAGACAATAGTTACCATAATGATGACAGTTAACCTCGGAACAACACACTACTGAATTGCACCTAATTTTGTTACAAAAATCTTGAGATTTTCAAATCTGTTACAAAAATCTTTAGATTTTCAAATCTGTACTTATCAAATTATCATATTTTTGTATTTATCAAATCTTCAAATTTTTGTAACAGATTTTAATATGTGTTATGTTAATGAGGTTTAAAGCCTATCGAATACACCATAGTGTTCATGACTGTACGAAACTCTTCACCTCCAGACTAGAGTACTTTAATACCCGCAAAATAGAGTAAGGAAATACTCGTCAAGCATAAGCTGAGAGAAATACAAGTCTCTGTGTATATATCCTGTGTCAGTATTTAGTATAATAGTAAGAGTGTGTTTTCTTGTTCCAGAATCCTTGGAGATGAGTGTGAGGGATCTTACAGTCAGCTGTCATCCGTCGCCACACCATCTTTAAATACTCGGCTCATCTTTATCACCTTCTGCACTACCTTAACTCACCTTCAGTAGCAGCAGCTTGATCTTTCTTCAGTACCTCGCTAATCCACCTCCTACTGCAGCTACCCTTCAATACCTCGTTGACCAACTCCTTCATAATACCTCGTTGATCCAACTACTGCAGCTGCTTCACCCACCTTCAATACCTCGTTGATCCAACTACTGCAGCTGCTTCACCCACCTTCAATACCTCGTTGATCCAACTACTGCAGCTGCTTCACCCACCTTCAATACCTCGTTGATCCAACTACTGCAGCTGCTTGACCACCTTCAATACCTCGTTGATCCATCTACTGCAGCTGCTTCACCCACCTTCAATACTTCGTTGATCTATCTCCTCCTCCTGCCTCAGCTACTCCCGAATCTCATAAACAATACAACGGAGTGTGTGCGTGTGTCCAAAATTTCTGATTTAAATGAGTAACAACAAGAAATTCTGGCGAGGCTCCACTCAGACCGTGAGGCTTCCTTGTTCTTGTCTTCAAAGAAACCCACGTAAACAGTTACCATTTCGATCCTTCTCAATTATTAAAAAAAAAAACTTACGAAGCTTATTAGTGATGCAGCGGATGACTCTCCCACAACGCATCTTCTCCTCAGTTTATACGACTGAAAAACCTAATATTTTACATGCAGAGTTCACCTGTAAGATCTCAGGTGTCGCCTGAACATTAGGCTGGAACTAATTAAGATACTGAAAATTACGTCAATTTGAATAAAGTTATCTTTGGAGGCTGTATCTTAATGTTAGTGAAGACTTGCAGAGTTAGAAATTTCAGCTAACTTCATAACTCTGATAACATTGGATAAATATCATTACCAGGTATTGTTTAACCCTTACAGGTTTATCGCTTCACCAAGAATATAATATTATTTATCAAATTGAAAGATGACATTTACTAATATTATTAAAAATTATTTAACTGTTTTCTTTGGGAGAGGAGGAAGGTCACTCTTCTGTGAGGAAGGTCACTCTTCTGTGAGGTAGGTCACTCTTCTGTGAGGAAGGTCACTCTTCTGTGAGAAGGTCACTCTTCTGTGAGGTTAGGTCACTCTTCTGTGAGGAAGGTCACTCTTCTGTGAGGAAGGTCACTCTTCTGTGAGGAAGGTCACTCTTCTGTGAGGTAAGGTCACTCTTCTGTGAGGTAGGTCACTCTTCTGTGAGGAAGGTCACTCTTCTGTGAGGAAGGTCACTCTTCTGTGAGGAAGGTCACTCTTCTGTGAGGAAGGTCACTCTTCTGTGAGGAAGGTCACTCTTCTGTGAGGAAGGTCACTCTTCTGTGAGGAAGGTCACTCTTCTGTGAGGAAGGTCACTCTTCTGTTAGGAAGGTCACTCTTATGTGAGGAAGGTCATTCTTCTGTGAGGAAGGTCACTCTTCTGTGAGGAAGGTCACTCTTCTGTTAGGAAGGTCACTCTTATGTGAGGAAGGTCATCCTTCTGTGAGGAAGGTCACTCTTCTGTGAGGAAGGTCACTCTTCTGTTAGGAAGGTCACTCTTCTGTGAGGAAGGTCACTCTTCTGTGAGGAAGGTCACTCTTCTGTGAGGAAGGTCACTCTTCTGTGAGGAAAGTCACTCTTCTGTGAGAGATGTCACTCTTTAGGTGACATGGTCCCTCACTCCACCGTCCACACCTGTTGCCACTACTGCAGTAGGTGCACACCTGCTGCCCGTACTACAGTAGGTGTACACCTGCTGCCACTACTATAGTAGGGGGTACACCTGCTGCCACTACTGCATTTAGATGTACACCTGCTGCCACTACTGCTAGTAGGTGTACACCCTGCTGCCACTACTATAGTAGGTGTACACCTGCTGCCACTACTATAGTAGGTGTACACCTGCTGTCACTACTGCAGTAGATGTACACCTGCTGCCACTACTGCAGTAGGTGTACACCTGCTGCCACTATTACAGTAGGTGTACACCTGCTGCCACTACTGCAGTAGATGTACACCTGCTGCCACTACTGCAGTAGGGTGTACACCTGCTGCCACTACTGCAGTAGGTGTACCACCTGCTGCCACTACTGCAGTAGATGTACACCTGCTGCCACTACTGCAGTAGGTGTACACCTGCTGCCACTACTGCAGTAGGTGTACACCTGCTGCCACTACTGCAGTAGGTGTACACCTGCTGCCACTACTGCAGTAGGTGTACACCTGCTGCCACTAACTGCAGTAGGTGTACACCTGCTGCCACTACTGCAAGTAGGTGTACACCTGCTGCCACTACTGCAGTAGGTGTACACCTGCTGCCACTACTGCAGTAGGTGTACACCTGCTGCCACTACTGCAGTAGGTGTACACCTGCTGCCACTACTGCAGTAGGTGTACACCTGCGCCACTATCTGCAGTAGGTGTACACCTGCTGCCACTACTATAGTAGGTGTACACCTGCTGCCATACTTTTAGTAGGTGTACACCTGCTGTCACTACTGCAGTAGATGTACACCTGCTGCCACTACTGCAGTAGGTGTACACCTGCTGCCACTATTACAGTAGGTGTACACCTGCTGCCACTACTGCAGTAGATGTACACCTGCTGCCACTACTGCAGTAGGTGTTACACCTGCTGCCACTACTGCAGTGGTGTACACCTGCTGCCACTACTGCAGTAGATGTACACCTGCTGCCACTACTGCAGTAGGTGTACAACCTGCTGCCAACTACTGCTGTAGGTGTACACCTGCTGCCAAACTACTGCAGTAGGTGTACACCTGCTGCCAACTACTCTGCAGTAGGGTACACCTGCTGCCACTACTGCAGTATGTACACCTCTGCCACTACTGCAGTAGGTGTACACCTGCTGCCACTACTGCAGTAGGTGTACAATCCTGCTGCCACTATCTGCAGTAGGTGTACACCTGTGCCACTACTGCAGTAGGTTCAAGCACCTGCTGCCCACTACTGCAGTAGGTGTACACCTGCTGCCAAACTACTGCAGTAGGTGTACACCTCCTGCCACTACTATAGTAAGGCTACACCTGCTGCCCCACTACTATAGTGGGTGTACACCTGCTGTCACTACTGCAGTAGATGTACACCTGCTTGCCAACTACTGCAGTAGGTAACCTGCCGCCACTATTACAGTAGTGTGTACACCTAGCTGCCACTACTGTATTTAGAGTAACACCTGCTGCCACTACTGCAGTAGGTGTACCAACCTGCTGCCTCTTACTGCAGTAGGTGTACTCTTGCTGCCACTACTGCAGTAGAATGTACACCTGCTGCCACTACTGCAGTAGGTGTACACCTGCTGCCACTACTGCAGTAGGTGTACACCTGCTGCCACTACTGCAGTAGGTGTACACCTGCTGCCACTACTGCAGTAGGTGTACACCTGCTGCCAACCATCACAACAGATCTTCCTGCTGTTACCGCTGTTGTTCTTGCTGTGCCTCGTACAGTGAGAGGTATCAATACAGACGTGTGTAATATTATACCAGTGTTACCATATCTTGTAAATATTCCTTGATGCTGACTCTCTGTAGTCTCCAAGCCAACTATCTCTGTAGTCTCCAAGCCAACTATCTCTGTAGTCTCCAAGCCAACTATCTCTGTAGTCTCCAAGCCAACTATCTCTGTGGTCTCCAAACCAACTATCTCTGTAGTCTCCAAGCCAACTATCTCTGTAATCTCCAAGCCAACTATCTCTGTAGTCTCCAAGCCAACTATCTCTGTAGTCTCCAAGCCAACTATCTCTGTAGTCTCCAAGCCAACTATCTCTGTAGTCTCCAAGCCAACTATCTCTGTAATCTCCAAGCCAACTATCTCTGTAGTCTCCAAGCCAACTATCTCTGTAATCTCCAAGCCAACTATCTCTGTGGTCTCCAAGTCAACTATCTCTGTAGTCTCCAAGCCAACTATCTCTGTAGTCTCCAAGCCAACTATCTCTGTTGTCTCCAAACCAACTATCTCTGTAGTCTCCAAGCCAACTATCTCTGTAATCTCCAAGCCAACTATCTCTGTAGTCTCCAAGCCAACTATCTCTGTGGTCTCCAAGCCAACTATCTCTGTAGTCTCCAAGCCAACTATCTCTGTAATCTCCAAGCCAACTATCTCTGTAGTCTCCAAGCCAACTATCTCTGTAGTCTCCAAGTCAAACTATCTCTGTGGTCTCCAAGCCAACTATCTCTGTAATCTCCAAGCCAACTATCTCTGTAGTCTCCAAGCCAACTATCTCTGTAGTCTCCAAGCCAACTATCTCTGTGGTCTCCAAACCAACTATCTCTGTAGTCTCCAAGCCAACTATCTCTGTATCTCCAAGCCAACTATCTCTGTAGTCTCCAAGCCAACTATCTCTGTGGTCTCCAACCAACTATCTCTGTAGTCTCCAAGCCAACTATCTCTGTAATCTCCAAGCCAACTATCTCTGTAGTCTCCAAGCCAACTATCTCTGTGGTCTCCAAGCCAACTATCTCTGTAGTCTCCAAGCCAACTATCTCTGTAATCTCCAAGCCAACTATCTCTGTAGTCTCCAAGCCAACTATCTCTGTAGTCTCCAAGTCAACTATCTCTGTGGTCTCCAAGCCAACTATCTCTGTAATCTCCAAGCCAACTATCTCTGTAGTCTCCAAGCCAACTATCTCTGTAGTCTCCAAGCCAACTATCTCTGTGGTCTCCAAGCCAACTATCTCTGTAGTCTCCAGCCAACTATCTCTGTAATCTCCAAGCCAACTATCTCTGTAGTCTCCAAGCCAACTATCTCTGTGGTCTCCAAGCCAACTATCTCTGTAGTCTCCAAGCCAACTATCTCTGTAATCTCCAAGCCAACTATCTCTGTAGTCTCCAAGCCAACTTTCTCTGTGGTCTCCAAGCCAACTATCTCTGTAGTCTCCAAGCCAACTATCTCTGTGGTCTCCAAGCCAACTATCTCTGTAGTCTCCAAGCCAACTATCTCTGTAGTCTCCAAGCCAACTATCTCTGTAATCTCCAAGCTAACTATCTCTGTAGTCTCCAAGCCAACTATCTCTGTAATCTCCAAGCCAACTATCTCTGTAGTCTCCAAGCCAACTATCTCTGTGGTCTCCAAGCCAACTATCTCTGTAGTCTCCAAGCCA